ATGTACTAAATAATGATTTTTATTTATTTTGAATTTGGGCAGTGGAGTTTTCCTTTGACATAGTTCTACATAAAAAGATTACATAACATGGAACATGCCCATTTCTCTCAACATCACAGAGAATAAACACGCCTCGTTGAAGGACTAAGTGAGATCTGAAATGCATCAGGTGAATTTTATTGGCTACTTTCTGGTTTGCTGCCTCACTCTGTTATATGTAAATGTGTCTCTCTTACCAGCCAGCACTTTGTATTTGCAATACCTAGCTCACTTGTTTTCCATTGATGACTGAGAGTTGTGTAAGAGTACCTAAATGCTTCTTTACTATTTCAAGACAATTTGTATGGCCAGTCTGAATAGCCTTCCACCAATTAAGTTGTAAAACTTATCTAACATTTCCCCATGGTCATTATGTGTACTGCAAGTTACAACAGGAAATCTGCCGGTTAATATAGTACAGGTGGTATTTGTTTGCTTGCTCTCACTATGTCATATTGAAATATATTATACATACTGAATCAAAACAGGAGAGATAGGCTAGTTTCAATACAATTCTTAATTGTTTTATAAAAAACCCAACATATAAAATATGTAGTGAATTACATGACACTGCTGCTATAGCTCAGTGAAGCTTACTTTACCTTTATAAGACTGAACACAATCTAGCTGTGGTCTTCGTACAATCACATGACTAACAAACTATCCTGGAAAAAAAACTCTTTCTTTGATTTGCAATACTACGTCTCCTGGGAGCTTGCATGGCGAGAAATAAAAGTTTAATGGCGTAAAAAGTAATAAATTACTTTTCATGAAGTATTACAAAAACTAATTTAGGGGAACTAGCTGCTTCAAAGTGAGGCATTACAAACTGCTATGAGTCATGTTCCAGAGGACTTGTCTGATTTCAGCCTGTTTGAAATGGCATGTTAGGTTTAATGTTTGTAACAGTATATATTTTCTTTAATTATTTTGTTTTTTTACAATCTGTGCTGTGTTGAATTTTTTTTTTTTTTTACAGATGTATTAGGCTATTACGATAATGTCAGACATGATCTGCTTACATTATTCTGAAATGTCTAGCAACAGAAGGTACCCTGCAAAGAATTCTGCTTGCATTAGTGAAGATACATTATTATCCAACATATGTTTCTCTTTTATTGAAGAGAACAAAGGAAACTTTTATATGGAAAACAACCTGAATGATGTCTTATTTATTCTATCACACACAGCTCTGGTCTGTTGTTTTTTGTTTTTGTTTTTGTCAATCAATCTTAGATTTTGTATTGTTGCATTGAAATTTTTACTTTTTTATCTTATCTTTATCTACACTGAACTTTTTACTTTTACTCACATTTTCAGCTGTTGTTTACATATAGTAATCAAACTTATTCAACCTCCCTTTGAAAATCAGGTTTATTGTTAAAATTTGCAGACTTTTAGCTGTGTGCAATGAGCACATCAAACAAAAACTCAACGCAAAAAAAATGCTGTTTGCAATGAACAAATCAAACAATAGCTCAACACAACAAATGCTTCAAGTGGTTTCCCCAAATTCAACTGAAAATACAACTTGACTTCTCCAGTGTCGAAATTATTCACCCCTTCATGGCAAGCATCTTTAATTCTTAGTAGAGCACCCTTTGCTGTTATGACCTGCTGCAAGTGAGATGCATAGTCAGACACCAGCTTATGGCAGTGCTCCTGAAGAATCCTGGCCAATTGCTAATGATCAATGGCCTCCAGTTCAGTAATATTCTTTGTTTTGCGTGTTGCAACTGTCTTCTTCAAATCCCACCAGAGATGTTCTATGGGGTTTTCATATTTTTATTCTGCCATACAACTATTTGATAACATATTTAATATGTATCTGGTGTTAAAATTTGGTTATTTGTGATATCTAAAACAATATTTCAAATTGGAGTTCTAACATAAATCTTAAGGTGTTTATAATGAGCTATATTTATAAATGGCCTTCTTTATCTGCTAAGGTGCACTGGGGAAGGAGGGAGCTGCTCCCCACCCTCGAATGCATGTTTTTCTGCATCCACAGAGTGAAACTTACTCATGCATTCTGTTTCAAAATCTCTGCCTGCAAATTTACAACCCAAAAAATAATGAGTCATGAAGAAAATGAGACTCGGTGCTGAAAAGGTTTTCAGCAAACTAAAATGTGTGTGATAGCAAGTGAATTTTGTGTGATTATGGGTTTTGAAACTGGTGAAATCATAAAAGCGGTGTTTCAGGTAGAAAATAGGTCATATGTCAAATACTTGTGCATTTAGATTCTTCCTTGACATGGGAAGTACCAAAAAACAAATCATACAACAGTTTTACTCAAAATTATTCTATTCCCTTTGAAAATCGGATTTATTGCCAAAATGAGACTTGTCTGTGACTGTGATTGCCACTGTAGACATTTTCCAGGATTTTTTTCTGCAACCAAATCTTGATGGATGCTTAGGATCATTGTCTTGTTGAAGGTTCAATTGTGCCTAAGCTTCAGATTCCTTGAATCTGCCTTTTTTTCTGATACTTTAATGAATATATCTTGGTTTCCACACACTACAGGTTTCCAGTTCCAGAGGATGCAAAGAAGCCCCAGAGCATCACTGAGCTATCACCATGCTTAACTGTAGGCAGAGTGTTCTTTTTGAGTGTTCTTCATATACTTAATTTTTCTTCCTCCAGGCATACTGCTGATCCATTGGGCTGAAAAGTTCCAGCTTGGTTTCACAGAACAGAATCCCAAAATTTCTGAGCTGTATTTATTTTATTTTGAGCATATTGGAGCCAAATTTTCTTGTGATATTGGGTCAGTAGTGGTGTACGTCTTGGAGTTCTGGCATGGAAACCTTCTGGGTTTAGCACACACTTTACTGTTCTCACTGAAACCTCAGTGCATGTTGCCATCACGTCTTCATGCAGGCCTTTTGCAGTCACTCGAGTGATTTTCACAACCTACCTTTCACTAATCTGGTTGCAATCATTGCTTGCTTCAGTTTTTTACCCCATCCAGGTAGTGTAACCACTGTTCCTTCAACTTTGAACTTGCGTACTCTGCTTCCAATGGTGTCTCTAGGAACATTCATTGCCTTCACTATCTCTTTGTATCCTTATTGTTGTTTGTGAAAGGCGATGATCTCTTCTCTTAGCTTTGTAGACCATTCTTTTTCAAACACACAGTCAAATGTGACACTCAAAAAACCCCAAGCTAGTTTATGTATTTTAAGTGTTCCAGTTCAAGCATAGCTGGTGCAACTAATAGAGCCCTTGATTAGGTGCATCAGGTGTGGTTGAGACAACACCTATTTTGCATATCTGTACTTATGTCAATGATTCTATTCAGGGGGTTGAACCTGTAGAAGTCATTATAAGTTGCATTTTCAGTTGAATTTGAGGAAACCACTTGAAGCATTCATTGTGTTGAGCTATTTCAATTGCTTTTGTTTGATGTGTTCATCGCAGTCAGCTGAAAGTCTGTACATTTTGGCAATAAATCCGATTTTCAAAAGGAATAGAATAATTTTGAGTAAAACTGTTGTATGATTTGTTTTTTGGTACTTCCCAGGTCAAGGAAGAATCTAAATGCACAAGTATTTGACATATGGCCTAATTTCTACCTGAAACACCGCTTTTATGATTTCACCTGTTTCAAAACCCATAATCACACAAAATTCACTTGCTATCACACACATTTTAGTCTGCTGAAAACCTTTTCAGCACTGAGTCTCATTTTCTTCATGACTCATTATTTTTTGGGTTGTAAATTTGCAGGCAGAGATTTTGAAACAGAATGCATGAGTAAGTTTCACTCTGTGGATGCAGAAAAACATGCATTCGAGGGTGGGGAGCAGCGCCCTCCCCCCCCTCTCCCAGTGCACCTTAGCAGATAAAGAAGACCATTTATAAATATAGCTCATTATAAACACCTTAAGATTTATGTTAGAACTCTAATTTGAAATATTGTTTTAGATATCACAAATAACCAAATTTTAACACCAGATACATATTAAATATGTTATCAAATAGTTGTATGGCAGAATAAAAACATGTCACATAGATGCTGAATAGATTTTAATTGCATGCACTGTAGACAAGGATGGTGTCACCAGTAATATTGAATAGGTTTGAAGAAGCATAGCAGCTTTTGATAAGATAGAGACATGTTCACATTTCCTAGTCGGTATGACTGATTCTCTAGGCACATCAAACAGCTTAGTCTGTTTGATTATGTAAAGTGTTGCCAAATGTAGAGCCTCACATAGATAAAAGAAACAGTGTGTGTCCATGTAGAACACTGTGCCACTGCTGTGATCGTAAGATAAATGGTAGATTCATGTTGCTTAAAATGTTAAATTGAACCAAAAAGTATATATTTATATTTTGCCTTTTAATTATTGTTCAAAATGGCATAAGATGTCTTCTTAAAATAAACAACGCAGCACTATGTGCCGTGATAATAACTTAATCTTAACTGCTGAATATGTGAATATGTTAATATGTATTTATTTATTTATAAAATATTTTATCAGAATGGATACATTGAGATTTCTCTAAATTTCAAGAATGTCCTGGGTCCACAAAACATTGCATTGTTACAATAGGATACAATATTACAAAAATACAATATACAAACTATATATACACACATATAGAAATTTAATGCATAACAGGTAATAAATATATTCTACCATGACAGGTGAATTCTGTGCTGAGGTATATTGCCATAGATCATTTAAAAGATTTTAGATTGAATGAAGATTTGACTGTGTCCCTGAGGTTATTCCATAATTTCGGTGCTCTGTAGGAAAATGAGAATTGAGACACTTTATTTTTGTATTGCGGTATGCTGGATCAGAGGTTATAGGAGGGGGGAACAGCTGGGGAGAACTTTCTACTCAGGTAGGGTGGGAGCTTATGCACAAGGCTGTAAAGATGAACAGTGCATCAGGATTCCAGCGATAGCCAGTTTAGCTCTTTTAACATGGAAAGTGGTGAGTAAAGTAATTACATTCTAGTACAAAGCGGCAGAATGAATTATATAATGTATTGAGTTTATTAAGGTGGGTTTGCGGTACAGGTGCATACACTACATCTCCATAATCAATGACCAGCGTTAGCATTTCTTGCCTTACTGTAGGGCTTAGGCAGGATTTGTTTCTGTACAGGGCACCTAGTTTTGGGTAAAGTTTTGAAGAGATATTTTAGGATAGATTGGTGTCTAGCAGCATACCTAGATATTAAAAAGTGCAGACTGCTGTCAGTGTGCTATTTGAATTGTTCTGATACACAATTGTTGATTTTGTAGTTTACATAATTTAGGTAAAGTTCCAAATATAATTGTAACAGTTTTGTCAGTGTTTAGGAAGAGTTTGTTATCCGCTATCCACTTTTCTATCTTTGCAAATTGGTTTTGGAGCACAGCCTCAAGCTGCGGTAGCTTGTGTTTACAGTGTCGGTAGCTTGTGATTACAGTGTCGTCTGTATACATGTGTGCAGTTGAGTATTTGCAGACGTTAGGCAGATCATTTTTTAAATAATGTGAATAGCAGGGGGCTGAGTATGGAGCCTTGGGGAATACCACATGTGACTGGAAGAGGGAGGGAAGCACTATCAGAAATGGCCACGTATTGCATTCGGTCCGAATCATACAATCAAAACCAGGTTAGCGGACGATCACCAATACCTGAGTTTTTACGTTTTTGCAAAAGAATGCCATGGTGTACTGTATCAAAGGCCTTGGCGAAATCAAAGAAAATAGCTCCAGTTAAGTCTCCTTGTTCCATGCCAATTTGGATGTCATTGCAAACTTTTAAGAGGGCAGTCGAAGTTGAGTGATTTGGACGAAAGCCTGATTGACCAGGAGTCAGATAATTTGATAGTTGATACTATGCGTGTGATATTGAGCGAAAGTTAGATATCAAAGTATTGTCACCACTTTCATGGATAGGTACAACTTTTGCAGTCTTCCAAAGTTTGGGTATGTATCCTGACAGCAGGGGATTCATTGATAAGGGTAGTGACAGGTTTAGCAATTGCTGGCGCACTGAGCTTCAGCAAAATTGCTGGGATTTGATCTGGCCCACACTGGTTATTAATTTTTAAATTATTAAGATGTTTATTAATGACACTAAATCAGGTCTAAAATTTAAATTCTCTCTATGAGCATTTTGAAGATTTGGCAGGGCCTGATCTTTATTTGTGGTCTGAAAATTAGTGTCATTTGTTATCTAATTAACCAGGGTGTTAGCACATCCAACAAAATAATTATTAAAGGCTTTTGCTACATCTAGGGGGAGTTGCAGTGTTTGAACGAGATCAATAAGAAGTTAATATGTCAAATTGTTTAGAAGGATTGTAACCTGTCTCCTGTTTCAATTAGTTCTTATAAAAAAAGTACATATAGTGTGTATATATATATATATATTTATATATATATATATATATATATTTAAAAAATGATTTTCTCACCCCTCCTGGGTGGTATGTTTATTCCTCATTCGTGGGTCCTCTACCAGAGGCCTGGGAGTTTGAGGGTTCTGTACAGTATCTTAGCTGTTCCTAGAACTGCACTCTTCTGGACAGCAATCTCAGATCTCCCACTTGAAATCTGTTTAAGCCACTCCCCCAACTTGGGAGTCACAGCCCCGAGTGCTCTTATCACAACTTGGACTACTCTTGCCTTCACTTTTCACATCCTTTCTAGTTCTTCTTTCAGTCCTTGGTATTTCTCCACCTTCTCATGTTCCTTCTTCACAATTTTATATTCACTGGATATTGCCACATCCACCATGACTGCAGTCTTCTGTTCCTTGTCTACCACCACGATGTCGGGTTGGTTGGTTAGCACTTGCTTGTCTGACTGGATCTTGAAGTCCCACAGGATCTTAGCCCTGTCATTCTCGACTACCCTTTGTGGTATCTCTCATCTGGACTTAGGCAGGTCCAATCCATATTCTGTGCAGATGTTTTGGTACACAATCCCAGCAACTTGGTTGTGTCTTTCTATGTATGCTGTTCCTGCTAAAATCTTGCATCCGGCTGCTAGGTGCTGGACTGTCTCAGAGGCGTCTTTACACGGTCTGCACCTTGGGTATTGCCTGGTGTGGTAGACTCCAGCTTCTTTTGATCTGGTGCTGAGTGCCTGTTCCTGTGCTGCTAGGATTAGTGCTGTCTTTCAGTCCTGCCTTTTGCAATCACTGGTAGGATTAGTTGACCAAAAAGAAAAAAGAAAGGAGAAAACAATATTGTGCAATTAGCAGTAAACTGCTCTATCCAAGTGGATATATTTAGTAAAACTCAACTATTAGTTGCAGCAGCAAACATAGTCCCGCTATTTACTCTGCATAGTAATAGATAAGAGGAATTCCTATAGAAGATTAAAAAGGATTCACAGTTCTCAGTTGCCCGCAGCATAACACTGTTACACTGCATATGGATCAACCATTAATTGTAGTTATCAGTCCAACTAGATGCTGTTATAGAGTGGGATGTATGCCAAATTCTATATATCACAGGGTTTATTTCAGAGGAGAGTACAATATTAAGATGAAGCAAGTAACACACGTACATATAGATACAGCAACAGACAGACAAACTCATCACAAGACCTCAAAAGTTCCCTTGAGTTGAAAATGTAAGGGAAAGAAGAGACCAGTTGTTCCCCTCTTCTTTTCTCTAGCCCATTCTGATATCCTCTGTCAAAATGATGTAGACGAGTACCTACCTAATTGCTTTTAATTTAGAGTTCTACTAACCTGCACATAAAGGTATACATATTCTCATTAGCAACAGACAGCAGCATGACTCCTGCCAACTGACATCAGTGAGGTCTTGAGGGATTGAAGAAGTGGCTTAGACCTTAAATACCCTTCTATCCAGTATAGACCTGAAAAAAGCCTTTGATAAGGATTCTTACTGTAAGTTCTATTATTTTCTTTATGATTGTTTCTCTTTCATAAAGCAACTGACAAACAGTAGACAGTTATTACAATTAATGGGCAAGACTCTTGACATTGGAGAGTGGGGTTTGACAGAGATGCCCACTCTCCTCATACAATAGACACATTAAACCCCATTGGAGGGGTGGCCATGTAGAATCGACGTTGAGCCGCTGTGAGATGAGGTGGATCTTTAATTTGGACACCATGTCTCCCAGTGGTCTCAATGTGGATTTTGAAATGATAGCACTTATATGATTTGTATATATGTATATACCATATATTTTAACATTGTTTCTTCCTTTTTATACCCTCAGATGTGTAGATGTCATTGCCTCTCTTTTTTAATATATAAAGTTTTCTGTGTTCATGTATACAGCTATATATTGTTTATGTACTATAGTTACAATTAGTTTTTATAATATTTTAGATTAAGTTATATTCACTTGATGTATTGAATTTTATGTATTTATGATGTGATTATTTTTTTATGAATATATAAACTGTTTGCCCCTTAATAAAATGGAGCCTTTTTGCCACTTCCGGATTACCGAGTGGGAACATAGGAAATGACGCAATGACGGTACGTGCGTCATGACGTCGGAAGTAGAATTCGACACAACAAAGGAACTTGCGTCATGACGCCATACTGGAAGTGGGACCCGGCGGGAAATTTGATTTCTGGAAGTACGGATCAAAAAGGACACCGTGAGAAGAGAAATTTATACACTTGAAAAAGACGGACTGTCGAAACGCGTTGTGTTTTATCTATGTATTACATTTTAAATTATCTTTCATATCAATTGTTATTTTATTTGAAGTAAATTTTTTTAAAACATCAGTATCCTGGTCTGCAATTCATCTTTCCTACATCTGGAACCAGATACCAGTATCCATAGGAAGATCGTGGGGACAGCCTGAATAGCTTGGAAAAGCTGATTTTCCACATGCGATCAAGTTAGAGCCTGCTATTCTAGGCTCTATATATTGTGAGTGACCCATTACCTCTGTCTTTATCTTTTCAGTTGTATACAGTATTATACTATGTATGTACTTTTATATCTTTCAGATTAAGCTAAAGAATCGCTTACTATTAAGTATATACATTTTAGTTACCTCTTCTTTGTATGTTGCACCCCCCACTTTGTTATATTGTTTTATCACTGTTTGTTAGTGTCTTTTAGTGATTTTTAGACACTGGGGGTAGTTGCTACGCTATTGTGTTCAGCTCCAATCCACCTGCACTTGTTTCCTCCTTTTTTAGGTGGAATCTTGTTTTTCTGTCTATATCTCCTCATACAATAGCCTACATCTAATTTTGCTTACCATACAAGACTTCCATGACATATCTTGATTTCTTTATTAATCTCACTAAATATGTTTTTCTCCACCTATACTATGCCACAAAGCCCATCTTCCCCAAATATCTTTTCAATAGTACAAATATAAAATAAGTCGTGTTGACGCTTTTAGTAAAAAGTCCAATTGTTAATTTTTCAAAAACATTCATATTGAATATAAAACACGAGCAGCCCATATCTTTAGGATATTTTCAATAGGTCTGTCAAAATAAAACACCTTGAAGTATTTTTTCTGAAATGCATTGCCCGTCTTTATAAGCATAATATATTCCTGTGGATCATGTCCATAAAATCTTCTTCCACAATTGGATATAGCTCACTGCCAATTCCCTATTATTTAAAGACCTTCACATTTAGAACAGACTGATTAGAAACACTAAACAATAAATAAATTTCTCTCAAAAAGTTTCAACCCAAAAAATAAATCTACTTTAATATGAACACCATGGTATATTCAAAGATTCTTCTTTCCATAACATGGCCTTCATATTTGTTTTGGCATACTATCATAACTCTGACTGTGCAGCCTCTTTCATTATCTGTCCATTATAAATGCTTTTCATGTATTTATATTTAAATTGAAAATCTTGAAAGATTGTGTATATGTTTAGTCTAATTGCCTTTAATACTTTATGTGATACATAGTTTGTATTGTACTTACTGTTGCTCAACAAATGTTAAATGAAAAATAAAGGTTTTTATGCTTGGCGTTGCAAACTGAAATTTTATTTTAAAAATAAAGGTTTCTATGCCCGGTGTTGTAAAATCCCCCTATTGTAAGAAAAAATGTCACACATGCAATTATGTCAAACCATTTTAAAGGCACTTTTCTGGCCAAGTCGTGACATGTAAAATGGCAAATGAACAGATTGACATTCATTTTTATTCCCATTAAAACGGAGCAGATAGAGTCGTTTCATCTCAGTTTTGATATCA